CCTGTAATCCCAACACTTTGGGAGGCCGAGGGGGGTGGATCACGAGGTCAGGAGATCCAGACCATCCTGGCTAACAAGGTGAAACCCTGTCTCTACTAAAAATACAAAAAATTAGCCGGGCGTGGTGGCACGTGCCTGTAGTCCCAGCTACTCAGGAGGCTGAGGCAGGAGAATGGCGTGAACCAGGGAGGCAGAGCTTGCAGTGAGCCGAGATCGCACCACTGCACTCCAGCCTGAGCAACACAGCGAGACTCTGTCTCAAAAAAAAAAAAAAAGAAAAGAAAAGAAAGTGGCTGCAATGCCCATGCAGTGGCTCACACGGGTAATCAATCCTAGCACTTTGGGAGGCTGAGGCAGGAGGATGACTTGAGTCCAGAAGTTTGAGGCTGCCGTGAGCAATGATCACACCATTGCCCTTCAGCCCAAGCAACAGTGTGAAACCCTGTCTCTTAAAAAAGAAAGAAAGGAAGACAGTGGTCGCAAGGAGGCAGAGAGATTGGAGCAGGGGTCTCTGAGTAGCATCACAACCACTACCCCCAACAAGTCTTCCCTGCCAGAGCTCTGGCCCCCACCCTGTGCCTAGTGGTTGAAGCCTTCCTTGGTAAAAATGGTTGTGTCTGGGCAAAAACTGGAAGAGTGGCACCCCAGAGTGGGTGGGGAGAATCCAGGATGGAGAGAGCCTTGGAGGGCCAGGGTGGACTATCTGGCGGCCACCCAGTAGGCCCCAGCATTCCCCAGCCTCTGTGTCCCCTGGAAAGGATCTGCTCCCTGTGGGAGAGCCAGCAAACAGGTCTGAGCTGGCCTGCTCCTCCACAGACAGAAGAAGAACAGGTTGGGGGAGGGGGCCTGAGATCTTGCTGGGTAGTGGTAACGGTAACCCCCGTGTCTCCTCTGAGGAGTTAGGAACAGAGAGGACTACAGCCTGGGCACACCCTACAAAGCCTGGGACCCAACCCTTTGCCTTCCTTGGTCAGCCTGCTGCCACGTGGGGAGCCAGGGGTCTGGGCCCCCAGTGTGAAGATGGTGCCTGCCCACCCTTTCCCGAGGAGCCAGCATCAGTCTCCACTTCCCCTCCCCTGGGCTGGGCAGGTTCAGGCCAATCTGCTGAAGAGCTTCACAGCAAACATTGATCTGTAATGAAACCACAATGTGTTTCAGGAGAAGGGATTCCAGACACAACACACATACACATTCACACACATACATACGGATGCAAAACATGCCGCTCTGGGAAGGCAGACACCAGCAGTCCTGAAAACACATCCAAACATAGACCCACATTGTGTCAAACTCACAGACATTATTCTACACATCCCCTCTCTGCCATAAACTTTGTCCTTCAAAATCAAAGCCTTCTCTGACGACCCGTTTTCCCCGTGTTCCCATAACACTTTGTATATAGCTCTATATTAGCATTTTCACTTTGCATTATAATTACTCATTGGCGAGTCTGTCTCCTTGGGTAATCTGAAGATCCCTTAAGGGAAGCGATTGTCTTATGCAAGTGTGTATCCCCAGCATCTAGTATGCAGCCTAGTATTTACTTAGTAGGAGTAGGTGAGGTGCTTAATAATTGTTGAATCAAGGAACAAAAGAATAAATGCCTTCTGACAGTGGGACATCCATTTCTAGGATCCTTCAGAAGCCTGCAGAGGATAACCATGCATGCTACTCAGGCCTCTGACCCTGCCTTCTTTTCTCTTGGTCCCCTCACCACCACTCAGCTCTCCAGAAGCCCTCCTTTCCTCCCCTTCCCTCAGTGTGAGACCACGAATTTGCGTTCGACCAGAGGTTTGCCAGGCAAGGTAAGGGTTAATGACACCTCATTAGTGTTTAATTGGAGGAAGGAAGCTGCCTTGGCACCAGACAGGTGGGCGGGCCTGCCCCTTGCTGGAACCAGGCATCCCTAGTTCCAGCACCGCACCAGGCATGTGGGTGATTTGGCCCTGGAGACCCTCCACGCAGCCGGGGCACCTCCCCCCACCACTGGCTTTGCCAATTTAGTCTCCAAGCAGTATAGACCAGCACTCTCCATCTGTCACCAAACATCCAGGGGGAGAACAAACTCCTTATCCTTTCTTCTGTAGCTGGCTTTGCCCCATCCGTCCCCAACAGACACTGGAGAACGCGAGGAGAGGTGTGGTATGAAGGTGGAGAACTGAGGGACAGATTACAGAGCCACTCAGGGATAGATTCCAGAAACAGGCAACAGGGCTGGGGATGTGGAGATGTCTGCCCAATTTGACCTTAAATGAAGAGAATGCAAATGAGATGCAGACGATATGCAGATGAACACAAGATCTCAGTACTGACATTCCTGGTGGCAGCAGCTCTGCACCCAGTACCCCAATGCTGTCGCCAATAACCAATCTCTTCCTAATCTTTCTGCGTTAAGTGGTGCTGACCATTACTTTGAGAGAGAAAAAGGATCTCAAGAGAGATGAGCTTGCTTGGGCTAGGGCTGCAGGACCTGGGAAGCTGAGCTCCACCCCAGCTTCCCCACCCCATCCCAAGCTGCCACAGCAGCTCAGGCAAACATTACTCTCCAGGTTGCACTCGGACGCACCGTCGGTTGCTATGGGGACCCCTCCCCCACTTCCAGACCTGAACCAATGGGCATCACCGCTGATGACCTCATAGCCCAGGCCCCGGGATTCTATTGGCTATTTGGAAACCAGAGTGCACCCTTTTCAATTGCGTCACCGCTGGGGATCCCCCGACGACCCCAGCTGGCGTCTGGCCTACTGAAAGGCGCGCCGGAAGCTCACAATGTGCTGAATGAATGAAAAATAAAGGAAAGAAGGAACTAATAAAAGGGAAGAAGAAAATGGGGGGAGGTGACAGAAAAAGAACAAAACTTCAGGGTTGAATCTGGAGAAGAAAAGGGAGATTTGCAACCCCAGAAAGTGTGGAGCAGGATTCCCGGTCGCAGAGACTCTCAGGCTCTTAAACAAGGAGATAGGGCGAGGTAAAGATGAGTGGAGTTTTCACATCTATTTGGGAGAGACTAGGGCAGGCCCAGCAAATTGAGGGCCCCACCCTGAGCCGCCTAGCGCTACTGAGTTTAGGGGAGATCGGTTACGCCCCAAAACTTTCAGGCCTGCCCAGCCTCCTGGAACCGCGCCCTGGAACACGCCTCGAGGGCTTCTCGTGGGGAAGACCTCCCAGCGCCTGCAGCCCGTCTCGGCCCCATGAGTGGACTCGGCCCTGGCTTTCCATGGGGACGCGCCCCGGGACTGAATCAGCCGCCCGCGCATGCTATGAGCAAAGTGTGTGTAGGGAAGGCCGGGTTGGCCTGAGCACCTGTGGTTGGGCGGGCCTAAGCTTATGACTCCCCCAGCCCCCACCACCTCCCCTGCCAAGCTCCCGCGGTAGCTGAGGCATCCGCCCTTGCACCTGCAAGGGGCTTGGCGGCCGGCAGGGGCGTGTGTCCGCGTCAAGTGGGAGCGCCCGACATTTAGGGCGTGCGTCTGAGTGCGGGGAAAGCTGACTGGGCCCCGCGTCTCTTTCGCACATGCGTTCTTATCAGCCGCGCATCCGCGCGCCAGCCCCAGCCGCGGGAGCGAGCGCGCCCGCCTGGTTCCGCGAAAAGAGGGGTGGCCTGGGGCCGCTGGGAGCCGGGTGAGACCCCCACAGTTCTCAGTCCAGGGCAAGGGCTGCTAACCAGTCGCTCCCAGTCTACTCAGCCTATGGCTTCACTTGGGAGGGGCGGAGGTAGCAGTAAGCCGGGTTCCATAGCAACGTATAGACACCCTCCTGGATGACTGTAAAGATGGAACTTGAACCCAGGACCTGAAGACCTAGCCCATAGCTTCTCCTTCAGCCGACTACACCCTCTCCTTCGAGCCCCAGACCCTCGCCCCCGCTAAAGATCAAGGTTTGGGGTGAAGGCCCTGATACATGCACCTACCTACAAGAGGCGTTTTCTGAAAGGTGGCCTCGAATGGGGGAAGGGACTGACTGGAGTCTGCTCTGCCCGCAGTGTTGCCCTCCACCCAAGGCCTCAGCCAGAGCAATAGAATTAACATGAACGATGGCAGCCGAAATCGGTGCATGGTGGTGGGGGAGAGGGCCCCCACCCGCTCCGAGAGAGACCGGGATCTGACCTAGGTGTGCAAAGGGGTGGGGGAGGGGTTCGCAAACCCTAGCACCTCTGTGTCGGTCTCTGGACCCCTAGCGCCCTCCCTCCCGCCACCGCCGTCTCCCCCCGCCCCCCTAACCGTGTTCACACGCTGCCTCTCGCTGCCGCAGCCGGGCCGAGCTAATCAGCACAACATCCACCTATCGATCGCTGGCTCGGTGCCAGGCGGGCTGGCACCGTGCCGGTGGAGGCTGCGGGGCACCGGGGCGGGTAAAGTACAGCTGCAGGGGAAGGGGCGCCCCTTACCCAGGCACCATCCAGGACACCATTCAGAAAGAGGGCCCCACTTCGCCTTGTGGGGATCATAGCCTCGCCTACCAGAGGTGGAAGAGACAGTGTGGGCTGAGAGCAGAGGGGGCCCTCCCTCCTCAGCCCCACCTCCTCCTCCTTATAAAAGCTAGGAACAAAGAGGCCGCTGGGGAAGGCGGCTTTGATCTGACCCCACCTTCCCAGTTCTAGGCCAGGCACCGCCCAGAGTGCCCTTGGGGAGGGGGAGGGATGACCAACTCTCAGGGACCCAGGCATTCTGAAACCCAGATGCTGTCTTTCTATTAATACTACCCCTTGCTTTTGCTGGGCACCCGGCTTGGTGCTACCAGGACTTGGGCAGGGCCCCAAGCGGATGGGCTGTCAGGAGCATCTGCCCCTCCTCAGCACAGGAAGCCGGTTGGGGAGGTGAGAGAGGGTGCCAAGCTCCACAGCTGCTGCTGGCACCCACCCACATTGCCCAGAGGGGTGCCCACTGAGGCCTGGCATGGATGGCCTGAGCACAGCTGGCATGGAGGTCAGGCCAAGCTAAGCTGAAGAGTACAGGCCACAGGGAGTCCTGCTATCAGGGAAGGGGCCTGAGGGCAGTAGGTTGGGGAGAGCAACAAGAAGATGGGTGGTTTATTGAAGGTTTGGTCTAGATACTTATAAAAATACAAACTGGCATGAAATTCAACCTCATGAAGAGTCCGTCTTCACAGAAGACAAGTGAGTGACCCCGTGGGGAGGGCAAGGTGCTGCCCCAGGGAAAAGGCCCACAGGGCACAGATGGCAGGGCTTCTTCTTTGCCCTGGTCCAGCAATCCACCTGTCCCCAGGTCTTCAGCCTTGGCCCCCAGCTGGCTTGAGGATTTGATCGTACCAAATCCCAGTCTTCCTGGGGGATGGGCTGAGACCCTCAGAGCAGCCTGCAAAGCACCTGTGTTTGTCTTGCCTCTGCTTCAGAGTGTCCAGGGCTGTCTGCTGCTCTTCTTTAGCCTGTGATGAGGGGAGAGGCACCTGCAAGGGTCACCTCAGACCCTCTGATCTCCCCCATCAATGCTCCATCTTGTCGGTCTGAATGGGTACCCCCAGTGCAGGCAGCAAGGATCCCCCTCCTTCAGGGGATCTTGGGAGGGCTCTGGCTCCTTGGGGTGAGAGGGAAGGTCTGCTTGGTTCACAGAATTCGCAGAAGACGAAGAATCAGCAGCAGCAGTAATAGCAAGAGACAGAGGGGGCTGGGAGTGTCCCCCCTTCGCCACCCTGATGTGCCACTCTCTCCAGGGCTCCCAACAGGATGGGCTGACTCAGACTCTGTGAGGGGGAGGGGGTAGCACTGATCAGTCCTCCCACTTTACCAGCCTCCTTCCTCCCCTTCCCATTAGCAGTTCCCTCCTTTACCATCCTCCAGGGTCTCCCAAACCAGCCAATCCCTTCCCATGATCTACGACCTCATCCTTTCTAAGCCCCAACTTCCAAGCCTCCTCAAAATTGCCAATAGAGACAACCAACTCAGCTAAGGCCTTGAAGGGCCTTGCCCCTGGACACCCCATTCTCTTGGCCCAGCTTAAAAAAGTGTACAGTACGTCGGGTGTGATGGCTCACGCCTGTAATCCCAGCACTTTGGAAGGCTGAGGCGAGCGGATCACTTGAGGCCAGGAGTTTGAGACCAGCCTGGCCAACATAGTGAAACTCTGCCTCTACTAAAAAAAAAAAAATAGCTGGGTGGCGCACGCCTGTAGTCCTAGCTACTCGGCGGACTGAGGCAGGAGAATTGCTTGCACCCGGAGGGTGAGGTTGGAGTAAGCTGAGATCGCGCCACTGTACTCCAGCCATGGGCGACAGAGCCAGAGCGAGACTCTGTCTTAAAAAAAAAAAAAAAAAGTGTGCAGTGAGGCCACACAAGACATGGTGGCTCACGCCTGTAATCCCAGTGCTTTGGGAGGCAGGAGATCTCTTGAGGTCAGGAGTTCAAGACCAGCCTGGGCAACACAGTGAGCTCCTATCTCTACAAAAAATAAAAAATAATTTAGCCAGCTGTGAGTTGTGGCGGCAGGCACCTGTAATCCCAGCTACTCGGGAAGCTGAGGCAGGAGAATCGTTTGAACTCAGGAGTTTGAGGCTGTGGTGAAGTATGATTGTGCCACTGCATTCCAGCCTGGGCAACACAGCAAGACCCTGTCTCTTAAAAAAGAAGTGGGGGAGCTGGGGGCGGTGGCTCACGCCTGTAATCCCAGCACTTTGGGAGGCCGAGGCGGGCAGATCATGAGGTCAGGAGATTGAGACCATCCTGGCTAACACAGTGAAACCCCGTCTCTACTAAAAATACAAAAAATTAGCCGTGCATGGTGGCGGGTGCCTGTAGTCCCAGCTACTCAGGAGGGTGAGGCAGGAGAATGGCATGAACCCGGGAGGCAGAGCTTGCGTAAGCCAAGATCGCGCCACTGCACTCCAGCCTGGGCAACAGAGAGAGACTCCGTCTCAAAACAAAACAAAACAGAAGTGGGGAGAGGATGGTGCAGTAGAAGCTCCCACAAGGCTAAATGGGGAGAAGAGACCACAGCTTGAAGCTTCACCAGGACCCCTGGAGTCTGATGCTCCTAGATTCTTCTCACTCCTTCCCTCCTTCCCAAGGCCCCACATTAGCCAGTAGGGTCCATGCCCCCAACCCACTTACTCCTCTCCTTGCAGCAGACAGACACCTGGAGCCTCAAGCACTGGCCAGAACTCTCTGGGGTGGGCACCGCTGGGTAGTGGGAAATTGGGAAGAAGTTAGCAAAGGGAGTCACCCCTTTGTATGCCTCAAACTGTTTCAGACCCTCCCAGCTTTTCTTCTCTACAGGTCCCGGGAAAGCGTTTCCTTACTTTGGGGCCACACCCATGTATCAGGCCCCATCCAGGCCTCTCATCTCCCTGGCCCCCTTTCCTAGCTCCTCCTACTTTTGCCTTACTAGACATTTCCCTCCTCAGTCCTCAGTTCAGCCCAGGCCCCAACCCAGTGTACATTAGAGACCCAGCTCCTCCTCTTCCTAGGTCTCTCCTTCCCCCTCCCTACCCTTCCCAAGAGGTATCCAGTGTGCCCTTGGCCACTCACAGATGTAGTAGTAAGTCTCTCCAGGTAAGAACTCAAAACCGAGGGAGAAGGGTGTGAAGCGCTGAATCTTCTCTGAGAATTGGACGTGGCCGAAGGGCAGGGAGCACACCCAGCGCTTGAAGGCCCGGGGGCCCTCTGCCTGGCAGGACTCATAGCCTGGCCAGTCCACCATGTATAAAGCAAACGTCTCGGGGCCCTCAGGGGGCCCTGGGCCTTCATAGTGGGGGCAGACAATGTCTAGGTAATCGTTGAGGCCCAGCTCCACCACGGCGTCTCCTCGAAGCAGCCTGCAGGCATAAGACAGGGGTGGGCTGAGGAGGGGAGGGCACCACACCATGGCCATGGAGGCCAGAGACACCCCTTCTCAGAGGCCCCTGCCAGCCTCTCCTCCACCCATGGGTGACAGAGAAGCTCAGGAAGACCCAAGGTCCCCAGACTGACAACTCTTGAGAGACAAAAAGAGTGCAAGAAATGGATGAAATGATTGATTCACAGGTTCCGAGAGGCTAAGACCTGCAGTGCCCATAACCACACAGCTTAGATGCCAGAAGGAGGGTCACCACGCCCTATCTTTCAGGGTGGAGCTGCCACACACCTCTCTAGCCCCAGTGCCCAACACTCAACGTGGTACAGCACCAGGCTTGATCAATGTCAGGTGGATGGATGCTGTGGAGAAGCTGGGCAGAGGCAGGAAGTACAGTTGCACACAGTGCAGCTGCAGATACAGAGGAGGAGACAGGGGTTGGGAAAGGTCTCCTCAAACACAGATATAAAGTGAGGAACACTGTCCTTTAGACTTCAACCCAAGGGTGAAAAGAATGTCATGGTAAAAAAAAGAATGAGGGAGGCCAGGTGTGGTGGCTAGTATCTGAATCCCAGTACTTTGGGAGGCCGAGGTGGGAGGACTGCTTGAGGCCAGGAGTTCAAGACCAGCCTGGGCAACATGGTGAGACTGTCTCTACCATAAATAAATAAATAAATAAATAAATAAATAAATAAATAAATAAAGGCCACGTGTGGTGGTGCAATCCTGTAGTCCCAGCTACTTGGGAGGCTGAGGCGGGAGGATCCTTTGAGTCCATGAGTTCCTGTAGCAAGCTATTATCATGTTACCGCACTACAGCCTGGGTGACAGAGCAAGACCCTGTCTCTAAATTCTAAAAATTAACAACAACAACAAAAAAAAGAATGAGGGAGTGGGTGCTAGGTGCCTTCCTTTTTTGGCCAGGAGGAGCAAGTGCCAGGCATGGGGGGAGTCCACATACTACCCAGTCTTCAGTCTTCTCAGCACTCCCTTCCCCACCTCTTGGGAGCTGCCTGGGGAAGCCAGCACATGTGGGAAGGGCTGGAACAGGTTGCTCCCCACAGTACCGAATGCTGCATGAACCACCCTCCATACCACAAACACAGCGAAGCGTGACGTAGGAAAAGCCTCCAATGGGTGGTCCAAGGCCCACCTGTATCAGTTCTGATTTGAAATGAAGATTCCTGGGCTTAGCCAGTCCAGACTTCCTAGAACACAAGCTGAGCAAGGACAGGGCCTTGGTAAGTTTTGTTCTACCACATTCCCCATGCCTGGAAAAGTGTCCAGCACAAGACAGTGTTCAATAAATATTTGTGGATTGAATGAATGAACCAGAAACCTTGAGATTGGGGAGTGAGAAACCTGAATTTTTAACAGGTCCTCCAAGCGATCCAGAAGCATTGGTCTGTGACAGAGATAGAGGAATTCAGAGTCCAAGGACAACAAAAGCTCTTATCACTTGGTAGTGTAATGACCTGTCTTTACGCAGGCTCTGCTGCCTGTTCTACAGAGTCTGTGGAATCCCAGAGGGCAGGGTCTTGATCTTCTCATCTATATAGTTAATCCCCTGCAACCTATCACAGGGCTGGGCACACACAGTATGTGTTTAATAAATAAGTGTTAGTAAGTGAAGAAATGAATAGAGTCACAGATTGTCTCAAGTAGAAAATCAGAAAGAAAAACAGCTGGGAAACAGAAGAGACATGGAGACTTGGGGAAGGGGTTGGAAACAGTAAAATATACTGAGGTTCAAAGGCAGGCAGCTCAGGAGAGAGAAAGAAATAATAGTTTATATCTGTACAGCCTGAGCTTCTTTCACACACATGACCTCACTTACCCCGCCGGACTTCCCAGGGTACTAGGTATTATTAGCCCATTATACAGGTGAGATAAATGAGGTTAGGAGGGTCACGAGACTTGCCCAGAGGTGATTCGGCTAGAAGGGCAGGGCTGACACTGGAAAGAAACAGAAGGACCAATAAAGACAGAGATGAAAGCAGAGATAGCAAATGAGATCAGGAAACAGAGCAAGAGCCAGAGGTGAGACCCAGCGGGCAGGAGAGTAACCCACGCTCTTTCACAAGAGTAAAGCCCCCTCCCTTGATCTCAAGTTCGCCAGCCCCAGCTCCTGCCGGCGGGAGGCTGGGGATGCCAGGAGGGCAGTGAGGGGGGTGGAGCCCGGAGTGCCGGTAAAGGCCCCCCCAGGTCCATGCTCCAAGACCCCCTAGACAACCCTCGGGGCTGGGGTCTTCTGCCTGCCCCCCAACACATGCGGGCTGTGGGGAGACCCAGGGCGCGCCTCGCCCCTCCCCCTTTCCCCCTTCCCCCCTTCCCCGCCGGCTCAAACAAAGGAGCCCCGACGCGCGGCCAGCTTCAGGCGGCGCCGCGCACAGAGCGGGTGGCGGGCGCGCGCAAAGCCCGGGAGCGCGCAGACTTGGCTAGGCGCTCGCCCGGTTCGGCCCGGCTACCTGGGGTTACTGGAGTTCCAGTAGACGACGTGGCGGACGCTGGAGCCCCCGCGCAGAGGGGAGCCGAGGAACGCGGCCCAGAGGACAGTCCGCAGCAGGGGCAGCAGCCGCATCGCCCCCGAGGTCCGGTTTGGTCTGGCCTGGCAGGTCCCGGCCCGCTTCACAATCGAGGCAAGAAAGGTACAAAGTGAAGAGGGGGGTTGTGGAAAGGGGGGTGGGGTGCAGAGATTCCCAGACCCCGCCCTGGATAACTTTCCGCCAATGGGAGCGCGTCTCCTCCTCTCCATCCAGCGCCAACTCCAGTTAACCCTCTGTGCACCGCAGCACACGCCGGGTTAGCCAAAGCTTCCGCTGAGGCTGCACCTCACTGCGAGGGGACGGGGAGGAAGGACGTATTCCAACAGCAATATTTTTAGGGAGGTCATCCCTTTCGTGTCTGCTTTAGTCCTGGGTAGACTGCCTTATTAGAAGTTTGGAAGATTTTAAATAAGGGTACATAACCTTAGCCTATCCAACCACCTTCATACACTGCCCCGTTTTCTTTGCAAATCTAGGGATAGTGCAAGCGGAAGGGACAACACAGCTTCTGGGACCACCTTCCCTAAAAAGCCTTAGGTGGCGCGTTAGAGATGCTCACTTTGGGATTGGCGTCTGTCCCTTGCCGCTCCACACCTTCGATCCGGGCTGGGGGCCCACGCGGCCCCAGTCCCGAAGACGAAGTAATGAGGTGGTTGTAGCCTGTACAAAGCACCTTTGTTCCGGATCCCTCAGGTGGCGGCTGCGGAGGGGGAGGAGGCAGGTGCGCCGCCTTGGGATCGTGGGAGCAGCCGCCGCCCGGCTCCGCCCTGGCTCCTGGGCTCTGAGAACACCAGCCAGATCCTCTTTTCCCAGCCAGTGGTCAGAGTAGGGACGGCAGGTCCAACGGCTTGACAGATTGCGCCGAAAGCCACCCCAGTCTGGGCAGAGGGAAGCCGCGAGCATCCCGGGGACACACGCCGACCCATTCTGGTACTCCCGCCCCACACAGCCCGCCCTCATCTGAGGCAGCAGCGTCTCCTGGCGGCCAGACCTGGAACCGCAGCAGGAGCGACCCGACTTCTAGAAGCAGACAAACTGCGTAACGCTCCCAAGATGTCACATTTATTGCAGCTGAGCAGAGACAGGCTGTGCGGACCTCCCTCAACCCCTTCCAACCCCCAGCCCCTCCCGAAACCCCAGCTGCAACGACGCCGCCGGTCCCTAGAGTGCTGCTTGACAGCGCGTGGCGGTGCCCGGAGCCTTAAGACACCGCGTCCAGCCTCTGGCGCCTTCAGTCATGGTAGGGGACTCCAGAGGGCACGCCCCCCTCTTGAAGTCCTAAGTCCGGTTTGGAGGCAGCGGAACCTCCAGAGAGGTCAGAGGTAGAGCGAGGACACTGTCGGAGGCGGTGGCGCTGGTCTGGAGTGCGGGAAGCCGAGAAAAAAGGGTCAGAGACCCCCTTCCCCCAGGTCACTCACCCCGCCCACCCATCCCCAGGGCTCCTCCTACCTGGAGGGTAGCGCTAGGGGCGGGATTCCAGCTCCTGGGCCTGGCAGGTCACCGGATGGGCACCGGCCCTGGGGGTCGGCAGGCAGTGGCTTCCTTGGGGGTGGGGGCTTGGCTGGCCCCTGAGACTGAGGAAGAGAAGGCAGGAGGCCGGCTTAGGTGGGGGGGTGTCACGTTGCCCACCCCCAACGCACTGGTGCTGGGGAACACCAGCTTGGGGGCAGCACCATCGGTCACCCTTGTCTGCAAACAAACCTGTCACCATTAATGGCACCACCTGGATATGTGCCCTCATGCACTGAGGGGGCATCTCGCCACGGCCACCACCGTCATGGCTACCAGCACCACAGCCCTAGATGGGGGGAGAGGCCGTGCCCTTCTCTCCCCCCACCGTTACCTTCGGGCTTCTCACCATCGGGTCAGCGGGCAGAGGGCGGGTAGGGGGATTGGGTCGGTCAGCCAGCTCAGCCTGAACAGAGAGAGGGGCAGTGGCTGTGAGAGCATAACCAGGGGCTGTGGACATGCATAGAGATTCCCCAGAGGGGTTCAAGTCAACATGCAAAGTCAGCCAGGGGGCAGGAGAGAATGAGGGCATGCGCAGAGGGTTTGGAGGCATGCCAGCTGATGTCTCAGGGGAGGAAGGTGTAGGTCAACCGCGGAGTCCCTGGCCGACTGCAGTCCCGCCACTGACCACCAGATGGTGGTAGAAACCAAGGCAGGAGGCTCACCCTTTGCTGCTTCTGGGGCTCAGAGTGTCTGAAGGCTGAGGGGCACCCCGATCACCTAATGAAGAGCACCACTGGCAGGGAGCAGGGATGAGAACTGCAGTTGGGTACCAAGCCTCCCACCTGCCTTGGCTCAGGGCGGGCCCTGGCCCAGATTTACCTGGAGTCTCTTGGGCACAGGGTCAGGCGGCAGCGGCCTGGAAGGGGGGGCCGGGAAGCCGAGAGCACTAGCCTGCTGAGAGGGCAGGAGGGGCAGATGGGCACAGAGGGGGAAGAGGAAGCAGAGAGACAGAGTGGGCAGAGAAGGGTCAGTGCCCAGGGAGGGCTGGCAGGGGCCCAGGGCAGTGGGTGCTGTGCATGCAGTTATGCAGGTGCATGCAGGTGGGGAGCAAGTGGGGAGGAGGTGTGCACACACTCCTATCATCCAAGCAGAGGGCTCAGGGCGGGGGTGCTCACCAGCCCTTCTAACATGGTGACCTGGGCCCACGGAAGGCCATTCTGAGCACCACTGCCCTTGTGCCCTCCTGGGGTCACTGCTGGGGGCACAGATAGACCCACCTCTCAAAGCCACCTCTTGGCCAGTGGATGGAGCCCAGCAGCCCCTGCTCCAGCTGGCTGCCCTCCCCACTCTTCTGGACTCAGCTTCTCTGCCTGTAGGCAGGGGAGGGGAAGGCAGGGCAGGGCTGGCCCTGACTCCTTCGACTGACTCTTGGGCAGTGCTAGCCTTTCTCTGAGTCTGGAGCCTTTAATGTGCACCCCCCAGGGTCCAAGCTGGATGCCCGGCCAAGGTGGAGTCCCCTTCCTCTGGCATCTGGGACTCACCTTAGTGCCTCGTGCCAGCAGGGCCCTCTGCGGAGGTCCTGGCCGTTCAGGGGGACCAGACTGGGCTGCCCTATGCATGAGGAAAGGCAAGAAGGGAGAGGGCCCAGCCTCAGACCCTGTTCTCTACCTTATGCCATCCTTGAGTGGGGTTAACCCTTTCTTTGCAGGCACTTATGTGTGGTATAGGGAAAACTGTGGTGGGGGCCCGTGGGGGCGTTATTTATTAGCTTGAGAGAAGACCCCACTTATCCAGCACAGGAGCTCCTGGGGAGAAATGGCCCTAGCACTCCAGCCACCCGACAGGGGCACAGCTGTGAGGTAAAAAGCTGTGGGTGCATATAGGGAAGGGAGGTGTGGGGTATGGCAGTCAGCAAGTTTAAGGTCCAAGGGGCTTGGGGCTCAGAACCAGGTTGCAGGGGCTGCAGAGGTGAGGCAGACTTCAGCACTGTCCCCAGTTAAAGGAAGTGGTAGCAGGGAGGTGATGCTCATACCTGTACTGGCAGGTGGGTCCCTTGAGCTGGCAGAGTCGCTGGTGCAGGCGGGCACGGTACCAGTAGCTGGCACCAAGCATCACCAGGACCAATAACACCAGGAGGCTGAGGAGCAGCCCTGTGGTCAGGGAGCTGGTCGCTGTGGGCGGAAGTCAGGTTTAGAGGGCAGGGCTAAGAACTCTAGAGCCATGAAGGCGCAGGGGGCAGGGAGTGAAGTCAAGTGATCAGGGAGAGTGAAGGGGTCAAGGGGCAGACTCAGGGAACCAGCAGCAAAGGGGGGTCAGAAAGAGAGGGCTGAGGGGGAAAAATAAAGCGTGAGCCACTTTGCCCTCCCAGCTGCCCCTGTCCCCCAACCCCATGCCACCTTTGAGCTGAGTGGTGCAGTCAGGGGGTGCCCAGCCCTCCTCACAGTAGCAGTGCCTGTTGCTGTCACAGACCTAGGAGGTACAAGGTGAGCAATGAGGAATGCTGCACTCTGGAACTATTTCCTTGTCTCTAGCTTTTCAAGATCTCACATTTCTACAACTGGGGGTTGTGCTTGGTATGATGTGTAGAGAGAGCCTGGAGGGTCTTTATCCACACCAGAGCAAATTAGATCAAACTAACACTTACTGAGCACCTTCTGTGTGCTGGGCACTGTGGTACATGCTTGCCTTCTTTGTGTTTGTTTTGTTTTGTTTTATTTTATTTTAGACAGCAAGTAAGATGGAGTCTCACTCTGTTGCCCAGGCTGGAGTGCAGTGGTGCAATTATGGCTCACTGCAGCCCCGAACTCCTGGGCTGAAGCAATCTTCCTGCCTTGGCCTCCCAAGTAGCTGGGAGCACAGGTGTGCACCAGCAGGCCTAATTTTTAAATTTTTCCTTGATAGAGACGAAGTCTCACTATGTTGACCAGGCTGGTTTTGAACTCCTGGCCTCAAGTGATCCTCCTGCCTTGGCCTCCCAAAGTACTATGATTTGGCTGGGTGCAGTGGCTCACCCCTGTAATCCCAGCACTTTGGGAGGCCAAGGCGGGCGGATCACTTGAGGTCAGAAGTTTGAGATTAGCCTGGCCAACATGGTGAAACCCATCTCTACTGAAAATAAAAAAATTAGCTGGGTGTGGGTGGGTGCCTGTAATCCCAGCTAGTAGGGAGGCTGAAGCAAGAGAAACAATTGAGCCTGGGAGGCAGAGGTTGCAGTGAGCCGAGTTCACGCCATTGCACTCCAGCCTAGGCAACAGAGCAAGACCCTGTCTCAAAACAAAACAAACAAACAAAACTGTGATTATAGGCGTGAGCCACCGTGCCCAGCCTGTGCTAGATGCTTTCATACTCACCTCATGTGCCCTAGATGGGGATACTATTATTGTAGCCATTTGATAGGTGGGGAAACTGAGCTCAGCAAAATTAGTAACCAGCCTGAGGTCACACAACTAGGAAGTAGTAGAGCAAGGATTAGAACCCAGATATGTCTGTTTCCAAAGCCCAGCATCCTTTTCCTCTCTAGAGGCTCTCTGCTCCCCTTCCACTTCCCCCATCCCTGCTCACCCCATGTCCATGGCATTTGCTTCGACATTCCTGTGCCCCCAGGAGATCCACACGCTGGCATCGATGGTCTATGCACACCTGACCCAGGGAGAGAAAAGCCTGGATCAGAGTCCCACAGAGTTTTAATGGGACTGGGAGGCCAACAAGGTTGAGGTCACACCCTGCGTTTACATATGGGGAAACCAGCGCGTAGTGGGTTGATAGGCTTTGCTCCATCTGAAGTAAGAAACTGACTTCCCTTGGAGTCCCTGCCTTTGACATTGGTGAACGGTGAAGTCTGGGCACTTCACCGTGGTCCAAATGTCCCTTCTCACACCTGGTTTTGCCCACCCAGGCTGCTCACCAGGCCAGGGCCACAGGCTGTGCCAGGCAGAGTCAGGAGGGGCTGGGCCACATCACTGCCCAGGTCCAGGTGCACCCAGCTGCAGTTCAGCTCAGTCCCATTCACATCTATTGTCTCCCAGAGTAGATCCTGGATGGAGCCCAGCAGAGGCTGCGTCCTACCTGTCTGGCACTGGAGTTGCCCGCAAATGGCATCTCTGGGAGGAGGGGGAAGGGCACACAGGTTAGTAGAAGCAGGGCCAAGACTCCCAGAAACCCAAAGGAGGAGCCAGGTTTCCTCACTTACCTAGGGGTACAGGACACATAGCCGCCACTGGGGTTGCGCCCACAGCTCCCAAAGGCATTTCCCCGAGTATTGGCTGTCTGGAGGCAAAGTGGTGCAGCGGGCTGGGCTCCAGGTCCCCAAAGTGACTGGCACTGCTGGGCATAGGAGGCACAACGCCCATGCATGCACACAGCTTGCCCACCAGCGCAGGGCTCGCCATCCCCTAGGCTGATATCAGGGGGACACTGGGAGCTGTCTCCTGGGCAGAATTCAGGCAAGTCACAATCCCCTCTGGTAGGACGACACTGCCAGCCAGACGGGCGTAGCTGTCGAGGGTGGATGAGCATCAGTGTGGGCACTGGGTAAATCCAGCTAGGGGGTCAGAATGACCCTTTCCACCTTGGCCCCGGCAGGTGAGCTCTGGGTGGCCAGTCTAGTCTCTACCCACCTGGCAATTTTGACAACAGGGTCCGTCGGATGCACACTGTGCCCCTGGCCTCAGCTGGCAGGTTGAGGAATCACAGCAGGGATCGCCGCAGTCCTGTGGGCAGGAGCACGGGGGCCAGGCATCAGAGCAGGTGGGGCCTGTGAGCCTCCCTCCAATCCCTCCTCCTCCCACAGGCCAAGACCAGAAGGACACCCAGAACTACACAGCAAGCAAGGGTTAGAGACGAACAATCCATGTGCTGTCCCCACAGACACAGCCAGTAGGAGAGGGGTGGGAAGTCCCTTCAGAACCCAAGAGGAGCTCAGGAGGCTGGGAGAGGGCTAATGACCAGGGTGAAGGCACAGAAGTGAGCACGGCGAGGCTTTGGGAAAGGGGCTCACATCTGGGAAGCCGCAGTCACACTGCTCGCCCGGCTCCACAAACATATTTCCACAAAAAGCAGCCATAGGAGGCAGGCTAGGCAGCCGTTCAAAGAGGCAGCTGCCCATTCCATCCAGGAGGGCTTTCTCCAGGGCTTGTCGGCTGCAGTTGCTGAAGTTCAGGCCTGGCAGGAAGCTGGGGAGGGTGGCAAGGAAGGTTGGGGCTGGGGGCCTCTCCCTGCCCCTTGCCCCACCGCCTCTCTCCATCCTGCAGCTACTCACTCTGTGGAGGCCTCCATGATGCAGGTCTTGGCTGGGGCTGGACCTGGACAGGGGCAGCTATTCCCGGGCAAATCATGGTCCAGGCCCAGGCTGTGGCCCAACTCATGGGCTATGGAGGAGGCGACTCCCAGGATGCTGGTGGAGTGGTCCTGTCGTTGGGGAGGGGTACCGCAGGTCCAGTCCCAGCCTGCCTCCACCACAATGCCCAGAGCACCCTCTCTGCTTCTGTTCCCTCCATGTCTGACCTCACGGGCACTCAGCAGGCACTGCTTCCCTCCTGAATTGCTTCTAAAGTAGCAGAACCCAGGCCTGGATGGCAGAAACCTGGGCTCTAGCTCAGCTCTGTCCCCCTCCCTCACTGTGGGCCCTTGGAGATCACCTCTGTTCTTTGCGCCTCAGCTGCCTCCTACCCTCCTCCAAGAAATGGGAAGACTGCACAGGGGATGACTGTATACACTGTGACGAGCTGACCACAAGTGAGGGCTCCCTGACTGCAAAGGCCACATCACGCATCTCCACCCTCTATACCCATAGCTTTGGGGCTGGACAACTTTGTAGGGGGATTTCAGTGAATAAATGCCTCCACACTTGGGAGGAACTGAATTGGGAACGAGGAGGAGACCTGGAAATAACTCACCATGTTCACACCTCCTGAGAAGTCAGGAGAACAGATGGAGTTCTGAATGGCCATGCCCACCATAGGCCCAGAGAATGAAGTACCACTGTGGGACAGAGAGGCCAAAGTTCAGAGCCAGAAGCCACAGTGGTCAGAGCTTCAGGGGCTGAGGTAGGGTGCTGAAGGGGTGTGAATTTGGCCAGGACAGGACTGGCCTCTCTGGCTGGGTCTGGGCCTTACGTCACCAGCTGGGCACTGTCGTGAGGCAATCGAGGCAGCAAATGTGCCCTGCGCCAATGGAGGAAGTTTTCGAGGGTGACAGCCGGGTTTGGGCTGATCTCCACCAGGTCACGCTGGGTCCAGGCCTCCAGGCCCACTAGTGCCACTCGTACATTCAGAGGCCGGAAGAACTGAAAGAGAGCTGGGGCTCAGAAGAGGGGCTGTCATGGTCAGGGGCCTGGGGTGGGGGCTGCCCTGTCCAGCACTCACTGTGTCCAGCAAGAGGGCCACTTCCAGTGTGCGGTTCAGCAGGTGCTGGAAGTCCCGGTATTTCTGGACCTGTAGGCCAAGAGAGGTGACATGAAAGGCGGCAGGACAGTGTGGGGGAAGGAGGATGCTCAGGGGCCAGCCGGCTCACCTCCGAGTGATCAGCCACAATCACCAGCTCCACAGTCTTGGTCTCTGTTACCACATCCCGCCTCCACTACGGACAAAAAGAAGTATCAGGCAAACCTGCCGCTCGCAGCCAACAGCTGTGCAGGGCTGACCAAGAGGCAGCCACTCCTACTCTGTGGGTGAAACAGGAGGGTGAAGAGCCCATTTTACAGATGAGCCACTGAGGGCCAGAGGGCCCAGGAACTTGCCAAGGAGGACCAGGAAGTAGATAATAAAGGTTGGAGTAGACCCCTGCTTTTCTGGCTCCAAACTCAGTGGTTTTTTTTCAAATTTTTAAAAATAATTTAGCCCAGCGTGGTGGCTCACGCCTGTAATCCTAGCACTTTGGGAGGCCGAAGTGGGCGGATCACGAGGTCAGGAGATCCAGACCATCCTGGCTAGCACGGTGAAACCCTGTCTCTACTAAAAAATACAAAAAATTAGCCGGGCGTAGTAGCAGGCGCCTGTAGTCCCAGCTACTCGGGAGGCTGAGGCAGGAGAATGGCGTGAACCCGGGAGGTGGAGCTTGCAGTGAGCCGAGATCGAGCCACTGCACTCCAGCCTGGGCGACAGAGCAAGACTCCGTCTCAAATAATAATAACAATAATAATTTGAAAAAATCCCAATATCAATTCTTGTCACTTACCATGTGCCTGGCACAGTTTTAAGCACTTCACATCTATATTGACTCATTTAATCTTCCCAGCAACTCTCTGCAGCAAGTAGTTTTATTATCTTCATTTTACAAATTAGGAAATTGGGTTTATATTGCTTTATCACTGGTAACTATGTATTATCTATAACCAAGTGAGAGCTCTCTGCAAATGGGATCATAAGACAGATGAAGAGTTTGAGCCAAATACAACTAATATAGATAGGCCATTTATTAGTTGTATGGCCTCGGGCAAACCACCTAACCTGTCTCAGCTAGATTTTATTTTATTTTATTTTATTTTCATTTTATTTTATTTTTTTGAGATGAGGTCTCACTCTGTCACCCAGGCTGGTGTGTAGTGGCTCGATTTCGACTCACTGCAACCTCCGCCTTCTGGGCTCAAGCGATTTTTCCACTTCGGCCTCCTGAGTGGCTGGAACTACAGGCGCATGCCACCATGCCTGGATACTTTTTGTAAGGTTTCTTCATTTTAAAATAGAGCTATTGATAGCACCTACCTCCTAGGTATGGGAGGAGTACACGAGCTAATGTTCATAAAGTTCCCAACATGTGGAAAGTGCTCCATTCGCAGGAGCTGTTGTTACTGTGAACACATAGCTCTGAGTGTCTGGGGGTCAGCGCTCAAGACAAGCGAAGCCCACTCCCCTGCCATTCATCCTCACCCGGCGAATGTGGCGCTGTCCCAGGGGGTGCTCTGGTGGAGTCTGAGTGTGTACAGGTTCCCGCCAGCTCAGGACACAGGTGTGGCCTGGCAGGTGGAGATCTTGGATTCGGGAAATAATGGGAGGACCCTGAACGTCCCCAGGCCCCTGCTCCAGCGTATAGCTTCTCTCTGGGGACAGGACCACCAAGCCTCTAAGAAAAAAGAAAGGAAGTTAGAAAACATTACAGCTCCATGCCTGGGTCTCCTTACTTTCTCTACTGTCATCAAATCCGCCCAGTATACCTGAGCCCAGAGCAGGTGCAGACGGACACCCAGGAGCCTGCATATCCCTGCACTCTTCCCTGGTAGCAGCAGTTCTCCTGCAGCACAGGAACAACATTAGTGTTGTCTCAGAGAGCAGACCAGGACTGGAACCGAGGAGTCTAGCTTGACAGTAAAAATAGGCAGTGTCTTCTCATCTTCCAGTTACCCCCTTCCTCTTTCCCCTAAGCCAAAAACGGCACAAGAGGGCCTGACTCACCAGAGTGTGTCCCTCACTGACCACCCGAGTGCCATCGGGCTGGTACCACACCAGGGTTGGGCGGCCTGGGACCAACTCCCTGTGGAGTGAAGGAAAAGAAGGCAGTGCTCAAGCCACTTCCCAGGTCGTGCATTGACAAGCAGAGGCCTGAAGGTGGTGGTGGGGCTGGGGACCAGGGAACACCCCCCAGCCAACTTTTCCACTCCCTGACACCAGGTCAGCAAAGTATACTGGGTGGGCCACTGACTCTGTTTATTTGAATTCCAATCTGGTTTTCACCACATACTAGCTGTGTGACCTGGGGCAAGTTATTTAATCTCTCTGTGCCTTGACTTCCTCACGTATAAAATAAGGACAATAATACATGATAGTATCTCCCTTACAGGGTTGTTATGAGGATTAAATGAGCACAAGCACTTAGCACCTGGCACATAATAAATGCTATACAAGTTGTTGGCCATGTGGTCACTGTTGTTGCCACCATCACTATTACCTATTCTGTAGCAGCTCCAGGATATGACTGTCACCGTCCAGCTCCAACTTGATCCTCAGGGGCTCAGGCAGACTGGTCTGTGGGCACCAGAGGGCAGGTCACTTCCCTAGACCTGCCCACAACTCCCAGCCTCTCTAACCAGAAAACCTAAGGCCCTCAGAAGAGCACCAGCGATTAGATCACTGGTGGGGGGATCCCAGGGGAGGGGCCAGGAAGCCCTGCCTGGCCTGCGGCATTGTTCTGGGGGGTTGTGTGGGGAGGTCAAGGAAGGTATCTGAGCCGCCCCTTCTCGGCTTCCTGCCCAGAGAGGAAGCACCATGTAGGACCCAGCACAAGCCCCAGCCCTTCCTCTGACTCAGCTTTATAATGGGGTTGGGGGGTGGTTTGGTAAGGTCCTGACTCTTTCCAAATCCCCCCACTGAAAAAACCGACAACATGAGATGAAGAAAGCAAGTTTGGCTTCACAATTTCCCCAGTGGAGATGGATGGGTTGGGTGGGGCTGAGGCAGACAGATGTGCGTGTAGAGGGAGAGGGAGATAAGTGAAGCCAGGTGCTGGGGTGTGGTGGGAGAGGCAGCTGGGCCTGGGATAGACCCACTACAGCGAGCTCTACCCACCAGCTCCTCAGCCAAGCTTTGGCCTTGAGACACCTGACTATGCAGGGGCGTGTGTGGATTCATTTATTTATTAGAGGGGTGTGGGAGTTCACCTGAAGCACCTTTTTGAGGCTAATCGGGAGATCGTCCTGAAGGACCTGGGGCTCCAAGGGCCCCCTCGGGGCCTTCTCTGACATTGCCTGCTGCTCCTCGGTGCCACCTGCAGGTCCCAGGACACCCGAAGACAGTACTGAGGAAACTGACAGCACGGCTGGGGGTGGCAGGTGCCCTCAGACCCACCAGCTCCCAGCCAGTCAAGGCCCTTAGACACCTGAGGGGCTTCCGCATTGCATGTTGAGACTTAAAGGAAAATACTCGAAGGAGGGGGTGTCTCTCTAATTTATGGCTTTCCACCCACCCATTCACAAGTCCCCAAGAAAGACTTTCAGCTTGCTCAGCCTGTGGCCCTCCTTGTCCCCTTCCGGCCAATCCCAGGTTCTCACAGCGACCCTCCCCTGTTCCCACTCCCTCCCAATCACTCTCCCCCCACTTCAGGAACGCCCCCTCTTGAGACTGAGCTAAGCCTTGTGGCCGGGTGCCCACTCACCCTCCCCTTAGCTCACATCGGAGATGCCAGGAACGCCCATTTCTGGGTAAGCAGTGCAAACACCCCCACCTCCCTAACCCTCATGCCCAGTCAGGCACACCCGCTGCCTACAGCCTCTGCTTCCTCCCCGAGCACCCCCACACCCCCCCAGCACACAATGGCCCTCTCTCCTCCGGACACTCCACCCGCGCCTGCCCTCTCGGTCCCGGCCCAAGACAGCAGCGGGAAGTGAAAGTTCCAAGGAGGAGTTGGTGTCCTAGCCTCTTTCCTGGCCAATTCTCCCTTCTCCTGGCTCCTCTCGGGCCCCTCCCGCTCGGCCAGGCACTGGTGGCAACAGCACCAGGGTGAGGAGTGCCTGGCGGCCCCAGGCCTGGAATACAGGCTAGAGAGAATCCTCTTCACTAAACCCTACAAGCCATGCCCGCTCAGCGCCCTGGCACCGGGTGGAACGGTAAGCTAGGCCCCAGAGCAGCGGAGATGCCAGCCCTGGGGAGCAGCTACCCTCTCACCACGATCTTGAAGTGGCGCTGGACAGACCCCTCGGTACCTGGTACCTGAGCCTGAAAGTGTCCGCAGGGATCGCGCAGAGGATGACCAGGCAGGAGGAAGGGGGCGCCGGCATCCCCTCTCCTTCCCTCGCCACTCCATCGCCAAGTCACTGGGCCCTAGGCCCAGGACAACGGACCAGGTCGGGCCGCGCTCTGGCTGGGCTCTCCCAGGGTCTCTGTCCGGCCCCATTACCCTAATGCCTTCCGACTTTCCTGCACCTCCCTCCCAGTCCGCCCCCCGACCCACTACAGGCCGACGACTCACCTATATTTGGGAGCGGCCAGGAAGGCAGAGGGCTGCCCGCGCCCAGGAGCCCCAGGGCCCAGAGCAGCGCCAGCCGCATGGCAGCGGCGCCTGGGGCCGGGCGAGGGCAGCAAGTGCGGAACAGCGCACTGAGGAGCGGCCGGCGGCCGGGTGGCCTCGGAGCACCCAGCAGCGCCGCGCACCCACCAGGCCCCGCCCCGGTCCGCCCCCTCCCACTTGGCCCCAAGCCAAGCTCCGCCCTCGGCAAGGCCATCCCGGCTGCGTGCCGGGTGCCTCGGGAGCTGGGACCCCGCCCACAACGCCGGCGCTGCTCGCGCTGCTCGGCTCTACAACCTTCCCGCAACTGTGCAGGATGGGAACCGGGGTCCGGTCTGACCGGCTTGGGCGGCGCGCCTTCACCCGGCCCCAGGTCTGGACCCCTCCTTAGTAGCTTCGCGGCCTCTCTGCCAGCTGTGCGCGGCCTGGCTCTGGAGAGGTCGGGCGGACAGGCTCTCCCGACTGCAGGCGAGGCAGCGCGCGGCTCACCCCAGTCCCCGACCCACGTGAAGCGTACAGGGCATTTTATTAACCGGGAAGGACGCCTCTTCACCCCGCGTAGGCCGCCTCTTCACCCCGCGTAGGCAGTGTCGTCGTTGCTGTCACTAAAGGCGGAGGAGGAGAGCTCCTCGCGGGGCGTGCAGACCGGGCACCGCTGCCGCATGTCGTCCCAGCACGACCAGCAGTACACGGCCTCGCAGTCCAGCGTCGGGCACACGTAGGACTCGGGCGTCTTGGGTGCCTGGCACACCACGCAGCGCCGGCGCAGCCAGCGGCGCAGGAGCGGGCAGCCGCGGTGCAGGATATCCGCCAGCGGGTGGCGCTGTTGGGAGGTGGGCGTTAGCGCCAGCCGGGGAGCGAGGCGGGAAAGAAGGGGACCTGGACAGCGTTTCCTGACTGAAGTCGCCAGGCTTGACAATGCCTGCATCTTGGAGGAGGCTGGGTTGGACAAAGAAACTCCTGGAGGGCTAGGGTGCCTCCCTCCCCAACTCTTAGAGAATGGGAGGATGCACCCTCCAGGCTCTCTCCCAGCAGATATCAGCCACAACTCTCATTTGCACTTTCCTGTAAATCATATTTGATTCTCACAGTGAGGCTGAGAAGTGAGCAGGCCAGATCGACTATCACTGTTGCTATCCCCACTTTACAGAGGAGAAGGTGAAGTGACTCTTAAAGTCACACAGATAGTAAACAATCCAACTCAGCTGGACCCCAGGGACCCTGATTCCAAACAACAAACCTAGTTCACTATGCTCCCTGCCATCCCTCACGACATGTCTCCACACAGTTGTCAGGGATTCTTCATAAGCCACCTTACCCAGGAAGCAGCCACTCTTTGCCCAAGAAACTCCAGAGGCCCTGCTGCCTGCCAGACAGGCAGAAGAACTCCTGGGCTTGGCCTTCAGAGCCTTCCATCACCTGGTCCCTTTCTAGCCTCTTTCCCACTTTAGCCCTCCCTGAGAGCTGTCTCTTCTGAACCAGTTTCTCCTGAGACTAGCCCTGGCACTTGGCATTCCCTTTGGATTCTGAGTCTTTGCACATTCTGCTTGGAATGGCTGTCCCGCACATTTCCATCTGTGCATTCACATTCAGTTTGCTTCACGACCCTGTCAAGGAATCCCGGCATGTTCTTTTTTGTTTTTTGGGTTTCATTTTTTCATAACACATTCATTTGACCCCTATTGTGTGTCATGGGGGCTGGGACTATCCAGGTACTAGGGAAAAAGCTAAGCATACACAGTCTCACTTTTATGAACTTTGTTAGGACTGATTAAATAAGAATGGCTGCCACTCATTGTTTATAATATCAGGTCCTGTACTAAGATACTGTACGTAAATTATTTCAATTCTAAATTAGCCAGGCGTGGTGGTGCGTGCCTGTAATCCCAGCTACTCAGGAAGCTGAGGCACAAGAATCGCTTGAACTGCGGAGGAGGAGGTTGCAGTGAGCCAAGATCATGCCACTGCACTCCAGCCTGGGCGACAGAGTGAGGCTTAGTCTCAAAAAAAAAAAAAAAAACTGGTCGCAGTGGCTCACGCCTGTAATCCCAGTACTTTGGGAGGCCGAGGCGGGCGGATCACGAGGTCAGGAGATCGAGACCATCCTGGCTAACGCGGTGAAACCCTGTCTCTACTAAAAATATAAAAAATTAGCCGGGCGTGGCAGTGGGCACCTGTAGTCCCAGCTACTCGGGAGGTTGAGGCAGGAGAATGGCGTGAACCCGGGAGGTGGAGCTTGCAATGAGCCGAGATTGCGCCACTGCACTCCAGTCTGGGTGACAGAGCAAGACTCTGTCTCAAAAACAAAAAACAAAACAAAACAAAACAAAAAATTCAATTATCATATAAGGCAGATAGTGTTATTATCATCTCTTTTTCAGGTGAGAAAACTGATGCTTGGAGATGTGATCACTGCCCAGGGTCACAGAAGGACAACATGCATGCATATGGAACTTGCTGCATGCCAGCACCATGTGAGTACAACTCATTTAATCCTTACAACAACCAGATGGAGTAGTTAACCCCATTTTACGGAAGGCAAAAGCAGGCACAGCAGTCAAGTCATGTGCTCAAGGTCACACCGGTGTCACAGTAATGAGGGAAGGAGCTGGGATTCACACTTAGGCCCTCTGGCACCGGAGTCCCACACCTGACCACCACTCTAGGCTGATCTCCAGTGAGCAGGCCTTACAGATCTCTCCAGTCTTGCCATTCTTCAGAGGGAGAAACTGAGGCTCAGTGAAGACCTTGGCCAAGGTGACACAACGTAATGAGGGAGTTTGGACTGGAGTCTGCTTCCTCAGATTCCATGTGCCTTACCATGTGCCCCTGCCTGAGGCCTTCTTGACTCCCAGCCCACCTGTCTCCTCCCATCCCCTGAACTGCACTGAGCTTCTGGTCTGCAGCCCTCTGGTAGAACCTATGGTTTTGCCTTGGGCCTCCTGTTTCTGTGCGGCCTTCTTGCTTTTCTTTGAGCAGACTATTAAATCTCATTCTCCTTTTCTGCCTGCTTCCTAATGGTCCACTGAGTGTCTTAGGCTGGGCTGAATCCTGGGGTTGAGAAATGGGCACAGCCCTGACCTTAGGAGCTGGGTGACTAGGGCCCTCAGTATGTGTTACATCAGATCTCACCAGGCTTGGCCGGGTGTAGTGGCTCACACCTGTAATCCTAGCACTTTGGGAGGCTGAGGTGGGCAGATCACCTGAGGTCAGGAGTTTGAGACCAGCCTGGCCAACATGGTGAAACCCTGTCTCTACTAAAAATACAAAAAATTAGCTGGGAGTGGTGGCCTGCGCCTGTAATCCTGGCTACTTGTGGAATGGGGGGCTGAGACAGGAGAATCGCTTGAACCCGGGAGGCAGAGGTTGCAGTGAGCTGAGATCGTGCCACTGCACTCCAGCCTGGGTGACACAGTCAGATTCCATCTCAAAAAACAAAAAGAACTCACCAGGCTGGAGTAGGCCTGCCACCATTGGTGGGTGCTGAGTGGACTGAAGGGAGCTGCCCCTTGCCCCACTGTACTTAAACCCAGCCAGGAGCGGGCAGCAGCACTCACGCCTGGACTTACTGGAGCCTTCTGCTGTCGCGCCCGTCTCAGGATAGCGGCCCTTCTGAGTTTGGTGAAGGCTGCTCTCTTCCTCAGTAGGTCATTGTAGAGGAACAGGATCCGCTTCTTCTCTCGCTGGGGGCAGGGAGGGGGTCAATGATATTGACAGTGAGGAGGAAGGCATCCCCCAAAGATGGAGTTGGTAGGGAGCTGGGTGCGGCTGGGGAGGGGTGCGGGGTGTGTGTGTTGTGTGTGCGCGTGCGCGCGCATGCAGGTGTGTAGGGGTGGAGAGGTCTGGGGAGGGGCAAACCTTGGGGAAGTAGAAGGCTGCGATGACCCTCCGGAGTCGGTAGCCAAAAGCCTGTAACAGGCAGAGACACACTAACAGGCCAATTGGTAGTGCAGCTCTCCAGTAGGCCCTGGCATCCAGGCCCACAGGCTGGGGCAGGCAGGCTAGGGGAGGGGCAGACCAGGGGTCTGGTCAGGACCAGCCAAGGGGCAGGGCAGCCCTGGGTTGGACTTCCCATCCCAGTGGGAGGTGCAGGCAGGGCCTCTGATTCCCCTGGTCTCTTCCGGCCTGCCCCTCACTGCAGAACTGCCCTGTCAGTACTGTAGCCACTGGGCAAAATGTGGCACAGATCTTGCAAATCTCCATCTTGGCTGAACGTCCTGTTGGAGAGTGCTGCTCTGGAGAGCTGGGGCCCTCTAGCCCCAAGACCCTGGCCTCCAGTCTCCTCTGACCCAAGCTTGTCATGCTCCCCTTATTCAAGCCTGCCCAGATGTGTTCCCTGCTCCGATTTCCCCAGCTCAAATGCTCCAACCCCCCTCTCTCCACACCCGAGGCCCAGGCCCCCAACTCTTTACCTTGGTGTCTTTTGACCCTTGCCCCACCGCCCTCAATTCCTCTGATCCAAACTTTCAGCATCACTCACGCATGTTGTTTGATTCCATCACTGTCTCTGAGGAGGTGTTTAGGGCCCCAATGGTTTTTCGAAGAAGCCGGGCTAGCATGGAGTCTCCCCCGACCTTCACCTCCAGTTTATGACTGCCTGCAGCCAGGAGGGTGGGTAGGGAAGTCAGGGCAGGTGGGGAAATCAGGAATGTGTTAAGGAGGTGGGGCAGGATGTGGGGTGGATGTCGGGGAGGGGTCAAGACACAGAAATACTTCTCAGCTGCCTGGGTCTTTCTGTCACTTCGATGAATCCTAACCCCTCCCTGCTCCCTGTTGTAAGTATAAAGGGGTAAAGAGCCCCCCTCCTCTGCTGTGAGAGCTGTCAGGTTGCAGGGCTGACATTTGACCTTGAGGAGGACAGGGAGGGGCTGAATCATAGAAAGGGGAAAAGAAGAGGCAGAAGGATGGCCGGCACGGTGGTGCATGCCTGTAATCCCAGCACTTTGGGCGGCCAAGGCAGGTGGATCACTTGAGGTCAGGTCAGGAGTTCAAGACCAGCCTGGCCAACATGGTGAAACTCCATCTCTACCAAAAATAGAAAAATTAGCTGGCCATGGTGGCTCATACCTGTAATCTCAGCTACTTAAGAGGCTGAGGCAGGAGAATTGCTTGAATCTGGGAGGTGGAGATTGCAGTGAGCTGAGATCGTGCCATTGCACTCCTCCAGCCTGGGTGACAGAGCGAGACTCTTTGTCTCAGAAAAAAAAAAAAAAAAAAAAAGGCAGAAGGAGGAGGCACAGTTGGAAGAACTAGGGTGGAGTGCCTGTACAGGCGTTGGAGTTCTCCAGAGGGCATCTCTTGGGCCTGGAATGTGTCTGGGGGATGGGCTCACTGCGGAAGGAGTACTGCAGGAAGGAGTGGTGGCGGATGGTGTCGAAGATGGAGTAGAGAGCCCAGTCCAAGCCGCAGAGCACCCCCAGCAGCAGCAGAATGGGCAGTGTCTCCAGGAGCTCCCTCACCTGGCCAAGGAGCAGGAGGGGCAGAGCTGGGCAGCGCCACCTGTCTGGGCACGGAGCACTCTCTGGTGCCTTTTACCCTCCACCCTCACCTTCAGGCCTGTCTTTGCACCCAGGAGCCCACACCCCATGCTGTCCTCACCATGTTGCTCATTTCTGAGGCCTGGATGGTGGGCTTGCAGGGGAAGATGACGGTTTTCTCCTCAGCTTTGCGGAGTGGCAGCAGAGTCCGTTTGCCCTGGAAAGCAAATGTCCACACAGTTAGGAAGCCCAAGGGCCCTCTGCCCTTTCCCCCTCTGCCTTCCTGGAACATGAACCCACACAGGGCACATAGCAAGGCATCCCTGGGCAGTGCCACACCCACTCACCAGCTTCTTCCTGCGGTCATCGATCTGGCAGAAGTAGGTGCTGATGTAGATGTTGTCAAAACGAATGTCACGGTTATAGCTGTCCATGTAGGAGAAAGACCTGTGGGTGGATGGGCGGGGATGTCTCTATCTCCTCCAGGTTCTCCTCATCCATCCCCAAACATGGGCTTCCTTGAGGCACAGTCTTTCAGCCAACCAGCCAGCATTCATTGAGCACCATCTATGTCCTAGGCACTGCTAGGCGATGGTGATAATAAAGAGAAGACTCTGTCCCTGCCTTCCAGTTGTGTAGAGGAAGATATCCCCCTACACGATGGGTGAGACACAGCAGAAGTGAGTAGGGGATGAGGTGGGGGCTTAGAGGAGGGCATGGCCAGCCTGTCTGGGAGGGAGCTGCATGTGTGCGTCTGAGATAGGGGACAGGCATGCATCTTGCAGGATGGATATCGAGCAGAGTCACAGAGACAGGAAACTCCTGGAGGTTTCAGGAATCACCTAATCCACTGTGACTCACAAGTTCTTGCCTCTTGGCTTTGCCTGCAGCATATCTCCTGGAGGTGTGCCGGGGCAAAACTCATCCCAAACCACCATCTCTATCCTCCTCAATACACCCTGGCCCTCCCTGCCTACCCTTGAGCATGGTGCATGTGTGCATGGGTGCATGCCTGCATAGATAGCTATCTCCCACGTATTTCCCAAAGCCCCACATAATGCTTCAGTTTGCTAAGGAAAAAATGTTAATTATTGCAAATGTGTTTAAAACTGTAAAAGTACATTAAATAAACTCTGTAAAGCGTGCAACATTAGTTTCAATGCTATTGCTTCTGGGGCCCTGTAAAAATCCACATCTTTGCCTTTAAAACTACTCTAAGTGCAAAGACATACTGTGAGCGCCCTCTTGTGGAGAGGCTCACAGAGGCGGTGCCTGGGCTTCCTGAGCCAGGGCCTGCCCTCCCGCCAGCTGTCCTTTCAGTACATGACCTCACCCAGCTTGAAAGCCTGGAAGTACCTTTTGACTCTGTGCCTCCTTCCTTCCCTCCACAAGCTGGCTCTGATCCTCGCTGCACCTTTCCCTTTCCCCCTCCACCTCAAACCATCTTCCTGCCATGCTTTACCTGGGCCAGGCTCCCTAACCTCTGACCCAGCCTGGCCTCCCTGCCTCCAGACTTCCTGAGGCCATCTTGCCATCACTGCCAGTTCCAGGTCTTCCTGCAGGGCTTTCTAGACTGTTCTGGTCATGCCCACTTCAGTCCTCCAGGCCAGCCTCTGCCCTCTGTACCCCACGGATACCAGGAGCCTTACCCAAGGGACACCCTTCTTTCCTTGACCATCGCTCCCCATCTGCAGCCATTTGGAGCCCAGTTATGGCCCTTCTAGGGGCACCTTCTCAGCTCCCACACACATCCCAAAAGCCAATCCATAGAATGGCCCTTGAACCATCTCTGTCTCGTGGGTATCTCATTATCCCAACTAGACCATTAGCTTTTTTTTTTTTTTTTTTTTTTTTTTGATGCAAGCTCTCACTCTGACACCAGGCTGGAATGCAGAATGGAGTGGCACAGTCACAGCTCACTGCGGCCTCGACCTCCCAGTGATTCTCCTGCCTCAGCCTCCCAAGTAGCTGGGACTACAGGCATGTGCCCCATACCCAGCTAATTTTGTTCATTTTTTGTAGAGATGAGGTCTCACTGTGTTACTCAGGCTGGTCTCAAACACCTCAACTCAAGCCATCCTCCCACCTCGGCCTCCCTAAATGTTGGGATTACAGGAGTGAGCCACCATGTCCGGTGACCATGAGCTTATTGAGAGCAGGAATAGAGCTCCTTCATCTTTGTCTTCCCACAGGGCCCTAGATACACACATAGCCACTCACTTGCAGTCACTCTAGGCCCCCCACACAGGAGCAGACAGAGCAACAGTCCTGTAGCGGCCCTCACCTAAGCCCTGCCCATCTCAGGTGTTTAGGAGTAGAGATGGGAAATAGAAGGTCCAGAGACCAGCAGGGGAGCTAGAGCAGAGCAAGGCCCAGGGCAGTCCAGCTGGTCACTGGGCTGGGTGGGGTTGAGGACTTTCTTCTAAATGGAGGGAAAGTCGCTGCCAACGCAGCAGGCAGGAGAAAATGAAAGCAAAATGGAAAGATAAAAATGGCACAAAGTCAGAGCCAAGGGGAATATGAAGGGCAAGAAAAAATCAAAAGTCAAAGCTAAATGTAAAAAAAAAAAATCACTATTGGGATAAAGGCTGGAAGGAGGTGGATGAATGAAGACGGTTGGCCTTTTAAGGCAGTGGGAACATCGGTAATGTTCTTCTGACAAAATGTCCACATTTCCTTTAACTTTGTGTAAACAAACTTAATGAAGACAAAGGTAAATAATACTCAGATTCAGAGGTGGGAATAGGCACTAGGGTTCCATCCTTACAGCCTGCCTCAGGGCAGGGCTCTAGTCCTGGGCAGAGGAGGGCTGCTGTGGTGGGGACAATGGCTCACGTGTGCAGGACCAGCAGGAAAGTGCAGGAGAGCAGCACGTGCAGCAGCCCCAGGGCCCACTCCAGCCGGGCCTCTTGGCGGTGCACGTAGTCCCGCACCTCAGTGCTCACTCGCTCCCAGCTCGCGTTGAGTCCCAGCACCCCAGCCTGCTTCTCTTCCTGGTGGAGGGCACATGAGCAAACTCAGCCTGCGGCTGCCTTGCCAGACCCAGGTCCCACCTCTTCATGGCATCTGTCCCCCAGCACCCCACTTGTGTCCCCGGGACCCTTCCAGGACCTCCAGGAGTTGTCACTTCCTTCTGCTCACTACCCTCCTGGACACAGTCTTGCTCCCCTGCACCTACATCAGCTGACATCATCTCATATCTGGCTGATAGCTCCCGCCCCAGGCCAAGTCTGCACAAACCACAGGCTTGGCACTGTCCCTTCCTCAACACCTTTCCCCTCCCCTGCCCATCTTAGGTGTTCGGGGGTGGAGATGAGAAACAGAGGGCCTCCTCAACACCAGCGACATTCCCCTCCTTGTCCCCCTTCCTCACCCCTGGTCACCTCTTTCCTGTGCTCTCTCACTTGTCCTTTCTCTAGCCCTATTCCCTAATGCCCTCCTCCCACTCCCTATCTACCCCCCACCAACCCTCGCCCTTGCCTTCTACCTTGAAGTCAATATTGGCTGAAAATTCCCCATCCAGGTCACGAATAGACTGGTTGAGGGTGTCGTAGGTCTGCCCAAAGTTGCCTTCCACTGGGATGCGATTGCGGCACCAAACCTCCATCACTGGTGGACAGTGGGTGGGGTCAGGGGGCCTCCCTGGGCCTGTCCTCCAGGTGCAGGCCTGGCCTGCCTGTCCTTCTGTGGTCCTCCTCATCCTACTTTTTTGTCTCTCTGCCCATGGCTTGCTACCATACCAACACCGAGTCTTCCCCTCTCTGCTCTCTTTGGATTCTGCCTTCCAGGAACCAGGCCTGAGTTCCCCCATTTTTGTCAACCTATCCTCAACCATAACAAACATCAGTAAGGAGAGCCAGCATTTACAGAGCAGATCCTCTGTGTGCCAGCTCTGCCACCGCCTTCACATATGTTAGCCCCGTAAATCCTCAAAAGCCCTTAATGTGGCTGGGTGCGATAGCTCACACCTGTAATCCCAGCACTTTGGGAGGCTGAGGTGGGTGGATCACCTGAGGTTAGCAGTTCAAGACCAGCTTGGTCAACATGGTGAAACCCCGTCTCTACTAAACATACAAAAATTAGCTGGGCGTGGTTGCGGCCGCCTGTAATCCCAGCTACTTGGGAGGCTGAGGCAGGAGAATCGCTTGAATCCGGGAGGCAGAGGTTGCAGTGAGCCGAGATCGTGCCACTGCACTCCAGTCTGGGTGACAAGAGTGAAACATCCCGTCTCACAAAAGAAAAAAAAAAAAGCCCTTAATGCAAGAACTACTGTTATTCTGCCCATGCCCATCTTTCAGATGAAGAGCCACAGCTCACAGCTTTGCTGTAACTCACCCTGGGTCACAGAGCTATTCAGCAGATGGACTGGGCTCTAAGGATACTGTGGCCTCAGGGCCAAAACCCTCCTCATCTGTTGCTTTCCTGCCTGTCACCTACCATGGGTCTCAAGGACTCAGCTCCCTACCCCTGATGCTCCCCACCCCTTTGCAACTGTGCAGACCCTTGGCAATGCCACAGAAGAACTTGAACTTCATAGGCAGGCAGAGCAGGTGGGTGAGGAGTGGGACCCAGATGTGCTTCATGCACTGTTCATGCTTGTGGTCAAACCAACGACGGCAGCTGAGTATGGCCTGGTTCACCACATCTGTAGGAAGGAGCAAGGTCCCCACATCTTGATCCACAACGCTGGCCCTGCATCCCACCCCACCCTCCATTCCCCAGGGATACCCCTCACAGGAGCAACGCAGCTTAGTCTTCAGCTCATACATCTTCTGTGTTGACAGGTGGAGGCTGGAGGCTGGGGCTTGGTGGGCCTCCCTGCCCTGGGCTGTCTCCCCTGAGTCCACGGCATCCTCAGGTGTGTAGCCTGTCTCGCTCTTCACCTGGGCATCCAGGTCCTCAAAGGTGGTGGAGATGTTCCGAGTCTCTGCTCTCAGCAATTCTTTGCTGCTCTGGGATTGGAGGTGGAGGGAGGAAAGGGCGAGGGCTGAGGCTTTAGAGCTTCTGCTGCCTGAGGGCCTGTCCTCCCCCAGTAGCCGAGCTTTGGGCTCTCACCTCAGGCTGGCAGGGAGCCTAGGCCCTGAGACACAGCCTCTCACCTTAAATTCCCAGCTGTCCATTGCCCTTGGGAGCCCCCTCCTCTCCGCAGCTGTCTTGTCTGATCCCACATGTCCTGGCTCTGTGTACCTCCGGGACTCTCAGCTCTTCCTCGGTCCTCCCATCCCAGACCCTTCCTGGTCAGTGGTTCCCCAGGTCCTTAGTCCTTACCCTTCACCACTAATCTCTGAGATCGTTATGCCATCTGAATGCCCCAACTTCCAAACCCCTCAGCCCCCATCTCCCCAACTCTCCAGCTCTCCAATTCTCTCAAACCGCAGTCTCCAGCCCTCTAATACCCAACTCTTGAATCCTCTTGTCTTCAAAACTTCTCAGCTACTTAAGGCCAAGGCCCTCAAATTTCCTAGATATTCTAGTTCAGCTGTCCAGAGTACTGACCACTCAGGTATTGGGAAATGTGTATAGAGCATGTCCCAATGGCTCAGGGGCTCTCCTGGCATTTAATGTCCCAGGACCAGGGCATATTCTGCAATGTTTGGGAATAGTTCTGCAAAAAATGCCAGTAGTATCCCCACTGGAGAACTGTAAATCCAGGGTGACAACTCCCAGCTCAAGTAAACTTGGCTCCAGGGAGAGGGACCCCCCAGGCCCTGTCTGTGCAGATTCCTGACCAGCAGGTCTTTGAACACGGCCCGTAAGGGGGCTGTGGAGACGCGCCAAGCCGCACGGGTGTTGTTGATCTGCAGCTCCACGGTGCAGCCCAGCGATGCGATCACGTCGTTGAGATTGTGCCGCAGATTGGCCACTGGCCCTGGAGAAAGAGGCCCTGGTGGGTCACCTCCCTGTATTACCAGCACTTTCTCAAACCCGCTCAGCTCCCCTCTGCACATGGTGCCCATCTCCTAGAACTATACAGTGGTGGGGCCGAGAAGCCTATGGAAGGTCATCTAGTTCAACCCTTGATTTTTTTCACCTTTGTTTTTTTTTTTTTTTGAGACGGAGTCTCCCTCTGTCACCCAGGCTGGAGTGCAGTGACTCGATCTCTGCTCATTGCAACCTCCGCCTCCTGGGCTCAAGTGATTCTCCTGCCTCAGCCTCCTGAGCATCTGGGATTACAGGCATGTGCCACCATGCCTGGCTAATTTTGGGGGTATTTTTAGTAGAGATGGGGTTTAACCATGTTGGTCAGGCTGGTCTCAAACTCCTGACCTCATGATCTGCCTACCTTGGCCTCCCACAGTGCTGGGATTACAGGTGTGAGCCGCCGTGCCTGGCCCTTTTTTTTTTTTTTTTTTTTTTTTTTGAGATGGAGTCTTGCTCTGTCACCCAGGCTGGAGTGCAATGATGTGATCTCAGCTCACTGCAGGCTCCGCCTCCCAGGTTCAAGCGATTCTCCTGTCTCAGCCTCCTGAATAGCTGGGACTATAGGTGTGCACCACACACCTGGTGAATTTTTGCATTTTTAGTAGAGATGGGGTTTCACCATGGCTGGTCTTGAACTCCTGACCTCAGGTGATCCACCCACCTCAGCCCCCAAAGTGCTGGGATTACGGGCATGAACCACTGTGCCTGGCCAATTTTTTCACTCTTATAAACTTAGGAGGCCCAGATATGGGGAGGAGCTCCCTCAGGGACACAGCAAATTAGAACAGCTGGGATGACACCCTTGCCTTTTCTCCTTCACCCAGCCTGGCTCCCATTGGATGGCCCACCCAGGGTCACTGCTTCAGTGTAACTCACTGGCCCCCACATACTCACCCACATAGATGGCAGCCAAGGCGTATCCCAGGACAAAGAGCCTGCCTTCCTTGCCCAGCATCTTGGGTACTAGCAGGAGGCTAGCACAGCGGATATGAGGGGAGGTCCCCCAGCCCATGGCTCCCAAGCCTGTCAGGAGAGCCCAGGAGGTGGTGAGGCAAAGTGAGGAAGCTGCCTCCCTTCCTCATGTTTACCAGAACACCCACCTGTAACACCCCATTCTGGAACCACCACCATCCTGTCCTTATCCCCATTTACACTGACTCTGATAGACCTGCTAGGCCACTCATTCATTCATTCAGCAGCCACTCACAGAGTTCAGCTATGTGCCAGTCTCTGGAAGGGCATAGAGGGATGGCTAGAACTTAAAAAGCCACAAATGATCGACTTGTGTGTGTGTGTGTTAGGGAAAGGAGTCAAGGTTTTCTGGGCTACAGTCACACTGACCCTAGGTGCTGAGGGAGCAGAGAGAGCAAGAGAAAAACTCTGGAAACGCGCTCATGCTCAGAGTGGTCAGAAGAGAGATCAGAGCCCACCTCAGTACTCCCAGTGCTCAGATACCTACAGCACTCGCAGTCCCTGCCTCTAATTTTAGCCCTTAGTCGTGTACTGCCTGGTATGTTTTAGCAGTTTCACATGTGTCTCCCTGTGGTCTCTGCACGGAGACAGTGAACTTCTGGAAGCTCATAATCCAGAGAAAGAGACAGATGAGTAAACAAATGACTACAACACGATGTGCTAAGTGCACAAGGGAGGTGCTTATAGAGCGCTGTGGGAGCCAAGGAGGGAGTAGGTCTTTCTGCAGGGAGGGGTGGGGCTGAGAAGGCTGGACAAAGAGAGGATGTGTCAGCTGGGCCTGGAAGGTGAGTAAGTGTTGTTAGGAGGTGCAGATGGCATTCCAGGCCAAAGGAGCATTATAAGCTGGTCAGGGGAGCTAGAAGATTCCTGTGTTGATGGAGTGTTCACCCAATGATCGCCAAAGCAAATCCCAAATCCTTACACTTCCTCCATCTCCACTGTCCTGGTAGAGTCCCCATCATCTCTTACTGGGACTATAACCTAATGAATCTCCCTATGTCCTCTCTTGCTACCTTACACTTCAGTTTTTACAAGGCAGCCAGAGTGATCTTGCAAAAGCATAAATCAGATCATGTCCCCTCCCTGCTTCAAACCATTTGGTGGCTTTCTACCACATTTGGTATAAAATCTAAACTCCCTAACATGGTCTACCTAGCTTGTGATGTGGCTCCTGCCTGCTTCCTGATCTCATTCTATGCAGCCCTTCTCCCACCATGTCTACCCACACAGACCTTGTTGCTGCTCCTTGGACAAGCCAAGCTCATTCCTCCTCTCTGATCTTTGCCCTAGCTGTTCCCCCTGCCAGAAGCACTCTTCTCCCTGTTCTTCACATGGCTGGCTCTACCTAGTCATACAGGTTTGTGGCAAACCCTGTCGGGTGCCACCCCACAGTTTTTTTCTGCCTTCTTCCTTGCTAACACAACTTGGGTTTTTTGCAAGGGCAATAGCCTGGCCCTGCCCCAGCCCCTGAGGGATAAATCTGGATCTGTCCAAACCAATCATGGTAGAACAGGACATTGAAAGGGACTAGTTCTGTGGTCTTGGCCTTCTGGCCAAAGACTTGAGCTGAGGCCAATAGTTGACAAATAGTTGCCTTACATTCTAATGAGAGCCCCATGGAGCTATGGGTGTCTTCTTTGAGCTCACCAAAAGAGCAAAACTTGATGTTTACTCCTGTATCCCACCCTGTCTATATAAAAAGACCAGCAATATGGACCAGGCATGGTGGCTCATGCCTATAATCCCAGCACTTTGGGAGGCCAAGGCAGGTGGATCACTTGAGGTCAGGAGTTTGAGACCAGCCTGGCCAACATGGCTCTCTCAACTAAAAATACAAAATTTAGCCATGCATGGTGGCAGGCGCCTGTAGTCCCAGCTACTCAGGAAGTTGAGGCAGGAGAATTGCTTGAACCTGGGAGGCAGAGGTTGCAGTGAGCCGAGATCATGCCACTGCACTCTAGCCTGGGAGATAGAGCGAGACTCTGTCTTGGAAAAAAAAAAAAAAAAAGACTGGCAATGTGGATTTCCTGGAAGGGGAGAAAAGTGGCTGGAATGGGCGGGCAGAGAGGGAGAGTCTGTGGAGAGGATGGGTGTCACCTGTCAAGTGAGAGACTCCAGGAGTCCAACAGGCTTCAGGGACTGGTGATGCAGGAAGGGGAACCTGCCTGGTCTCTGTAGACTGGACTCCTGCTGAGTGCAGAGCCTCATGAGACCACTCCAGGGCTGCCACCTGAACACAGAGTGGAGGGAGAGCTCCTGGGAGAGCTCAGCCTCTGCAATGCCTCTGTAAACCTCCCCTGGACGATGGGGGCATACAAGCATGGAGACTGGTATCTGCTTCTCATCAGGGCAGGAGAGAGGCAGCCGTAAGGTGCCCTGCTTTTGACGGGGTGTGGTGGCTCATGCCTGTAATCCCAGCTCTTAGGGAGGCAGAGGCGGGAGGATAGCTTGAGCCCAGGGGTTTGAGACCTGCCTGGGCAATATAGTGAGACCCCATTCTCCACAAAAAGGAAGGTGCCCTGCTTTCTCTGCCTGGCAGGGCACGGACATGTGCACTTCCAGTCTGCTGGAGGGAGGGATCCAAAAAGCAAGAGGCTGTGGGTGGCCCCTGAAGGGGGGCTTCACTCGAGGTCAGCCAAAAGAACTGCCCTCTGCAGGAAACTGGGCACTGCTGAGGTCCACACACAGCCTCCAAGGAGATGATAATCAGGCCCACTGGGACAGCCAGGGTGTGAGTGCCTGCTACACACAGGCATCCAAGTGGAATTATAACAGCATTGGTGACTTAACGACTTTTGTTCCTTTTCCTCTAATTCTTCTAATCTCCCTTCTGACATCAGAAGAACCAGAAAGGGAAGGAAGTAGAGGAAAAAAAGGAAAGAGCAGGCCACGCCCCTTCTCCACTGCAGGACCTCATGCCAGGGAGCAGGCCTGAGCTGGGGGCCTAAGGGATGGGGAGGGCAAGATAAGGAGGGAAGATGCTTGAGAATGGATGAGGTTAAAAGTTTGATGTAGTCGAGCGCAGTGGCTCAAGCCTTTAATCCCAGCACTTTGGGAGGCCGTGACAGGCGGATCATGAAGTCAGGAGATGGAGACCATCCTGGCTAACACGGTGAAACCCCGTCTCTACTTAAAAATACAAAAAACTAGCCGGGCGAGGTGGTGGGCGCCTGTAGTCCCAGCTACTCAGGAGGCTGAGGCAGGAGAATGGCGTAAACCCGGGAGGCGGAGCTTGCAGTGAGCTGAGATCCGGCCACTGCACTCCAGCCTGGGCGACAGAGCGAGACTCTGTCTCAAAAAAAAAAAAGTTGATGTAGGATGGACTGGACCTCTTTAATCCCTAAAAATAAGTCTTAATTGTTGAAGTAGGACTAGGTCTTCTAAAGAAATATAACTAGAAATCTAAGGGGCTGTGTGAAAGGTTATCAATGGAAAAAAACATGTTCGAATATAGTGGGTCAGAGAAAAAGTAGTCTCCTGTTGGTATCCAGCAGGATTAATTCAATAAACAGGTGATGAAATGCTAATTCCATTTCCCTTGCCTGGGACAGGTTCAGGAAAGGGCATGTGTTGCACGCAGTTCTGACCAAAGAGATGTGAGGAAGTCTACTGCGGGGATTATAGGCAAGTTTCCCTTGTTCCTAAAAAGGGACATGAGGAAAAGATGTTTCTTCTTCTTTTTTTTTTTTTTTGTCAGAGGCTTTTTTACCCCGGGGATTTTTCTTTTTTCCCTGGCCTCAAATCACACAGCCCAAGACAAGGCAGTGTGGGCGGGGGTTTAATTAAACTTATCTTCCTTTTTTTTTTTTTTTTTTGAGATGGCCTTTCGCTCTTGTCACCCAGGCTGGAGTGTGGTGGCACGATGATCTCCACTCACTGCAATCTCTGCCTCCTGGGTTCAAGCGATCCTCCTGCCTCAGCCTCCCAAGAAGCTGGAACTACAGGTGTGCACCACCACATCTGGCTAATTTTTGTATTTTTAGTGGAGACAAGGTTTCACCATGTTGGCCAGGCTGGTCTCAAACTCCTGACCTCAAGTGATCCACCCACCTCAGCCTCCCAAAGTTCTGGGATTACAGGCATGAGTCATCATGCCTGACCTGTTTTTTTTTTTTTTTTTTTTTCTGATCTTTGACATTGTTGTATAAAGATGTGATGCCAGAGTTGCTGCAGCTATCTTGTGACCTGAAGAGAAGTGGTCAATAGGCTGAAGATGGCAGAGAAAAGACAGAAGGAACCTGAGTCCTTCTTGAAGCTACTGAGCTGTTAAATTATCCAGACTGGGCTCGGTGGCTCACACCTGTAATCCCAGCACTTTGGGAGGCCAAGGCAGGTAGATCTTTTGAGGTCAGGAGTTTGAGACCTGCCTGACCAACATACTGAAACCCTGTCTCTACTAAAAATACAAAAATTAGCTGGGTATGGTGGCGGGTGCCTGTAATCCCAGCTACTTGGGAGGCTGAGCAGGAGAATGGCTTGAACCTGGGAGGTGGAGGTTGCAGTGAGCTAAGATTGAGCCACTGCACTCCAGCCTGGGTGACAGAGCAAGACTGCATCTCAAAACAAAAGCAAAAGCAAAAATAAACAAACAAAACCAAAGCAAAACGGCTCAATGCTTGTCATCCTTGTTCACTGCTAAATCCTCAGCAGATTCTCAGTAAGTGCTGAATGAATGAATGAATGAATGAATGAATGAATGAACTGAATTTCTTAGGAGGATCAGAAAACGAGGTCAGACAGGTCAGGAGAGATAAGAGTTTTGAAGGGTTATCATGTGGGTGATGGGGAGTCCCTCAGAATGGAGAGACTCCCTCAGGGCAAGGATGGTGTCTTCCTTCTTAAATTGGTGGCTTCTTCCCTCTGGACCTCCCCCTAAAGCCCAGGAGGAGGCTGAAGCCACAGGGGATGCTTGGGTACAGAAGAAACAAGCCCCGACTCCTTCCTGGGCATGCAGGATGGTCCTGTGTTCCACAGGCCGCTTGAGTGTTCCTGGTCTTTGCCCAGCACTAACCCACCAAGCTGTACAAAAACATCATCTTCTGTTCTTCATAGATGTTCATGGGGTTCACCAGGAGCTGAAAGAGACCTAGGGGCACAGGGTCAAGCCAAGGGCCAAAAGATGGGTCCTAACCCTGGTGCAGCCTCTGCCCACCCCGGACTTTCTGCTTCCACACTCACCTATGGCCAGGAGCCCCCCAGCGCCTGCCCCCAGCAGGAAAGCAGTGACGGGAAACTCGCCCGGCTGGCGCCATAGGAACCGGCTACAGGAGACTGGCAGCCCCCAGCTCAGGAACCTCTGCACCACTAAGAGGGGGACAGGGTAGCTCAACAGCCCACTCTTCTGCCCGAGATGGGGTTCATTAGGATTCAGGGCTTGCAGGTGGTTAGAGGCTGGGGGAACCTGGGATGTGGAACAGTAGGAACTTGGGGGACCCTGGAGAGGATGAGGGAGCCTGAGGAAGTGGTATGGGTGTAAAGGATAGAAAAGGCAAGGGCTGGGCTGGGCTGGGGGGCCGGGGGCACCAGACCAGAGAGGTGGAGGCTGGGACACCAAGTTGGGAGATAGTGTGCGGGAGTTCCAGGAGGAGAGATGGGATGAGAATGGAGGTCAAGGGATGCTGGGTCTCTGCTGAGTGACTCACCAGTATGAGGCTGTTTTCTTCTTTGCCTTCTTGCCCCACTCTGATGATGTTTAATGTCCATGAGTCTGTTTTGGGGAAGCACCACTCATCCCAAGTCTCCTGAAGGACCTCCTTGGACACAAGGTTCTGGTGAGAGAAGAGAGGCGCTGCCTGTCTCTTCTGCCTTACGGGAAGCCTAGACCTGATCTCTAGGCCTTTTCATCCTTCTGCTTCAAAAAGTGGGGAAGGAGATTCGAGACCTACCTATCCCCTCTCCAGCCCTCGGAACTGGGTCAGGGATTCCAAGACACATGCAGTGAAAGCCCTTGGAACCTTAGAATACGGTGAGAAATTCCAGGAGCACGGAAGTCAGCGGGCATCTCCTGGAGACAGGCAGACATTTGGCCTCAGCGGCCATGCCCAAAGTCATGAAGGATATTGTGCACCCCTTGAGGGGAGAGGAGCCTAGCATGGCGAGAGCTGTGGTTCGCAGCGTGGGAGGCTTTACCCTGGGCTTGTCTTTGGCCACAGCCTACGGGCTTCTGGAGCTACTGGTGGAAGGGCACAGCCCCTGGGGCTGCCTGGTGGGCACCCTCACTTTGGCCACCTTCCTTAGCCTGGGCATGGGATTCTCCTGCCAGGTCCGAGCCACTGTCCTCCTGCTGCTGCCCCAGGCCTTCTCCAGTGAGCTTGGCACCCAGGGCTAGGGGGCAGGTCCTGGAGCTGGTGCTGGGGCAGGAGAGATGCTATGGGAGAGGCAGAGGTTAAGGGAAATATTCTGAAGGCTTAAGTGAAATATTCTGAAGGGACTTGCTGCCGTGTTTGGGGCTGGGTTCTTGGTTCTAACGGAGCTGTCACCCGCAGGGCAGGGCCGGACACTACTGTTGGTGGCTGCCTTTGGGTTGGTGCTTCAAGGTCCTTGTGCCAACACTCTACGCAACTTCACCCGGGCTAGCGAGGCTGTAGCCTGTGGGGCAGAGCTGGCCCTGAACCAGACTGCCGAAGTGCTACAGCGGGCCAAGCAGCCCCTTGTCAGTAAGTCCCCCACCTCCACCACTGTCTCCCACAGGTCCTCCTTGCCCCACTCATGCTGCATGTTCTATAGTCCTTTGGCCTCCTTCTCTGCTGGTGCTAATCGCAGAGCATCTGGGCCTGGAAGGGACTCTGGGCACAGCTAAACCCTCTCTCCTTGCTCTCTGGCCTCCTCCACTCCCAGATTAACTATCTCCCAGGCCCCAGAATCCAGGCTCCCTGCCTCTGGTACAGTGGCCTCCTCTCCACTCCCTGCTTAAGGGGCAATGTTGAGAACTAGCCCCTAAAGGAGGAGATTCCACAGTGCCTCTGTCCCTCACCCATCAGGTGCCCTGAACAAGATTAAAGCTATTGCCCAAAAGACCAAAGAGGTGGCTGACCGGATCCGCAAGTTCTTTCGGTCAATCATGGATGGTGTGAAACATGTAGGTAAGCACATTAGCATGTCTACTCCTGGGGACTCAAAATGCACCCAGTCTTGGCCAGGTGTAGTGGCTCACGCCTGTAATCCCAGCACTTTGGGAGGCCGAGGTGGGAGGATTGCTTGAGCCCAGGAGTTTGAGAGCAGCCTAGGCAACATGGCAAGACCCCATCTCTATAAAAAAAATAAAAAATAAAACTAGCCAGATGTAATGGCACATGTCTGTAGTCCCAGCTACTGGGGAGGCTGTAGTGGAAGGATCTCTTGAACCCAGGGGTTTGAGGCTGCAGTGAGCTATGATCGTGCCACTGCACTCCAATCCAGCCTGGGCAACAGAGTGAGACTCCATCTCTAAAGAAAAAAAAGGGGGGGACCGGGTGTGGTGGCTCTTGCTTGTAGTCCCAGCACTTTGGGAGGCCGAGGCAGGCAGATCAGAAGGTCAGGAGATCGAGACCATCCTGGCTAACATGGTGACACCCCATCTCTACAAAAAATACAAAAAATTAGCTAGGCATAGTGGCATGCGCCTGTAGTCCTAGCTACTCAGGAGGCTGAGGTAGGAGAATCACTTGAGCCTGGGAGGCAGAGGTTGCAGTGAGCTGAGATTGTGCCACTGTACTCCAGCCTGGGCGACAGAGTGAAACTCTGTCTCAAAAAAAAAAAAAAAAAAAAGACTGGGTGAGGTGGCTCACGTCTATAATCCCAGCACTTTGGGAGGCTGAGGCAGGTGGATCACCTGAGGTCAGGAGTTTGAGACCAGCCTGGCCAACATGTCGAAACCTCATCTCTACTAAAAATACAAAAATTAGCCAGGCGTGGTGGCATATGCCTATAATCCTAGCTATTAGGGAGTCTGAGGTGGGAGAATCGCTTGAACCAGGAGGCGGAGGTTATAATGAGCCGAGATCACTCCATTGCATTCTAGCCTGGGCAACAAGAGCGAAACTCCATCTAAAAAAAAAAATTTTCAGTCTCCTCACCTGTATCCCTGTCCAGGGCTTTTCAGGCCCCTCCTGGGTGTTGGCTAGTGCTCACTGGACACAGCACAGCCAGGTCCCTGACCACAGGCCTCTCCAACACTGGGTGCTGTGGTATTGTTCCCCAAACCTCTGAGAAGAGGCTGTAGGATTCCAGCCCTGGGTGTCAACCCTGCAACTGTCCCCAGCCAGGGCTCTCCGGAATGTATGGCAGTGGCTCCTGCACATCGGGGATGTGTGCAACTCGGAACTGGGCAACCCTTACCTGAAGTGTGCACGGGTTTTTGATGATGCCAAGGACAGCTGCATGATGGTCATACCACAAGCCTACCATCTGTGTTACGTGCTCATGCCCTTCAAACTGGCGCTCTGTGGACTTGCCAGCCGTGAGAAAACCAGGGCACGCCAGCAGGGAGGAGCCTATGTGTGGTGGGGCGGGGTGGAAGTGTGGGGGTCAGTTGGGAGGACAGGCCCAGGGGGACCATTGGGGGCAATAGAGAGGAATAAGCTTGGTGGGACCAGTATTGGGGGTGGGGGCGGGCAGTAGGGAGGGACTGGTGTTGGGAGAGAGGGGTGACAGGGAGGTGCTACAAGGTTTTGAGCAAATGTGGAGGCCAATAGGAAAATCGAAAAGAGGCCCTGTCAGAAGAGGTCTCCAGAGGTGGGGGGCAGGCCTGGCTGTGCTCCTCCTTCGGACACTCAGCAGACTCCACCCGTCAGTGGTCCAGGTGTTCTGCGTCATCCCTAAGTACATTCAGCCCTTCTTGCGCCAGACCATCGGCACCCGTGAGTGACCCCCTCCTGCCACACGTGGTGCTCCCTAGTGGTCTCCCTCCCTCATCCCGGTGTGGCCATGGCCAGCCCCCAGTGCTCCCAGCCCATAAAGGAGAATGCAAGAGAAAGAAAGGGGCTCAAGAGATCACCCAGGCCCATATCCATGCTGTACAAATACAGATGAGGAGACTGAGGTCCAGTGAAGGGCCAGTGCCTCACCACAGCCTGCCGTGAGAGCAGGAGCTGGAAACAGAACCAGGCCCTCCTGTCCACACTCAGGTCCACACTCAAGTCATCAAGATCATTCCTTAGGGGCATCTGTTGCATGCCTTCTGTCATACTGGGAGCTGAGCATGTGGTGGCGATGGCCATATGTGGAGGCTTTGTCCCCTCCTCAGTCCACCTTGACCCAAACACTGGGGGTTCCCAGCTGGTCTGTGAGCTGCACCCCCTAGGTTGTGCCAGGCCCCTCCCCAGGGCCAGCTCCACCCTCTCCTAACTCTCCTTGCCCACGTCTCCCCTGAACCTGCTGGCCCCAGCTGTGATTCAGTTGCTCAACCGGGTGCGTCAGGAGTTTGAGTTCAACATGACAGCTACCCACCACTTCTCTGTGGATCTCAATGCCTCTCGGAGCCTGTCCCAGGTAGCCATGGACCTCCACGAGGCTGTCAGCATGAAGCTGCACCGTGTCCGAGAGGCCCTGGCTCTGATGGGGTTCACCACTCCTCTGCTGCTTGTGCTTCTCTACCTCCAGTGAGGCGCTACCGGGCGGCACGGGGTGGGGTGTGCAGGGCCAGGGCTGCAGGGAGCAGCTCATCCCCATGCCGCCCCAGCATCCAGGGAGGCTGAAGTGGGGTTGAAGGGGGGATGCCCTGTGGGGTCTGTCCCGGGGTGGTAAAGGGCCTCATATGTGCTCTACCTCCCCTTCCCAGAGCCCTATTTTACCGGTACTGTTACCTGAACTGGGACCATTATGACAATATCTACATCACCAGCCAATTCCTGCGCATGGAGGCTGTGCGCTCCGCGGCAGGGCTGCCCACAGTGCTACCACTCAGTGCTCACGAGGCCAGGCGCTACATCCCACCGGGTGAGGACCCTGAGGACAGGGAGAGCCCAGCTCAGGGAGGCCAGGGCTTCCCCCAGCCCCGCTGCCCTGCCCCTAAGCCCCTGCATAGGCAGGGCTCAGGATGGGCTTGGGGCGGGGCCAGAAGGAGGAGACCCAGAGCTTAAGGAACTTTCAGGCTGAGGGAAGACACTGCCCAGTCCTTGGTGAGCCCGCAGTCTGAAAGGAGAACATAGACACCCTTGGAGAAAGTAGCCAGAGACAGGAGAGGCAGATGGTGCTTCTGGGAGCACCCTGGACATCAGGACATCAGGGGATGGACACAGAGCGAGGGAAGTCAAGTTGGGAGGGCTTCCCCAGGTGGGCAGGAAGTGCTAATATGGAGGGGGAGGACTGCCTGTGAGGTGGGGAGACAGGTAAGGGGATGAGGGATGCCCTAGGAGGGAGGGCTCCTGAGACTGGAATGGACCACAGGGCCAGGTGGAGCTGATAGGCAGGCCCCTCCCCTCTAGCCACAGAGCCCCCTCCCCTGAAGAGTGTTTTCCATCCTTGCCGGAGTCCTCACAGCTTTTCTTTTCCATATTCCCGATGAGCAGACAGGCCCAAGCCTGATCACGGGCAGGAGGCCTCTCCAAGAACTGGGGTCTGGTGGACGGGAGAACTGGGGAGCATTCTCCTGATCATCCCACTCCTGCTCAGGCTCCATCTTCTTGTCCCAATGGGAGAAGTTTTTTTACATTCTGGAGACCTTCAACCTTATCCGACACCTCCTCCTCGTGCTGTTCCTAGTCTTCCTAGACTATGCTGTCTTCTGGGTGCTTGACCTGGCCCGGCACCAGCTGCAGGGGGAGATTGTGGCCCGCAGTGAGTGCCTACACCA